TTATTTTAGATGAAGAACCTTATCCCTTAAACTGTCCAAACATATTTACATTCACATGCATAGTGCTCCAAAAGTAGATCTATGTTTTTTACATATTTTCAAATATAACAAAAAAAAAAGTAGATCAAAGTTTTTTTTTACACGTTTTCAAATGTAAAAAAAGAAAAGATCTACTCTTTTTACGTACTTTCAAACGTTGAAAAAACGTAGATCTACGTTTGGACAGTTTAAAGGTTAAAGGGTCACACACATAAAATTTTTGTATTCATGGGGTAATACTATGCACACAGGGGTCATACATTGCCTGGGAAAATGAGAGGCACAAGAATGGACAACAGATGGGACACAGCAACAAGGGGACACAGTTGGAAGTTGAAGACACAAATGAATCACAGGGATGTTAGGAAGTATTTCTTCAGCCACAGAGTAGTCAGGAAGTGGAATAGTTTGGGAAGTGATGTAGTGGAGGCAGGATCCATACATAGCTTTAAGCAGAGGTATGATAAAGCTCACGGTTCAGGGAGTTACCTAGTAGTGGCCAGTGAAGAGGCAGGGCCAGGAGCTAGGACTCGACCCCTGCAGCCTCACCTAGGCGAGTACACTGCAGTAGGCCTACTGGCCAGTCAGGTGTTTGGTAGTGTCCCATCTCCTCAATGTAAGCCACTCATCAATAATACTAATTGACAGTTTTACTACTGCTACCTACATGTAGAGGTCTGCCCATACAAGATGGTGCCAGCTGCCAAGGCTATGAAGGAAACCTGTTCTGTTGAAGGTGTTCTTTTAGTAAACTGTAGACAACCTGTAAGGTAAAGGCAGTGTTTGTTCTAGTTGCTGTCAGAGATACTGTCCATGTTTTAACAACCAAACATCTGCCAGTCCCCAGTGTATTGACAGATCACAAATACTCTTGTCTTGCTTTCCCTAGACAAGCATTTAGCCATTCATTTTACTGAAATCACACCGCTTTATTTTTATTCTATTATTTGTTTTCCGCAATTCTAGTCTTACTAAGTTTATCATTACTAAATTTACTACACATCAAAAGTGGAAGTCTTGAGTGCATGTCATGCTTGCTTGCTATTGGCTATTGGTCATGGTGTCCACATTTCTTATTCCTGGACTGGTTATCAGTTTTTATGCAAGGATGAAAAACCAGTCACAGCTCCATTCAGTATTAGATATTGTAACATTCAGATGGCATACTGAGGAAAAATCATATACACATATGACCTGAAGGAGGGGTGTTAATGTTGCAGTTTAAAAACTGTAGTGTAAAGCACCCTTCTGACAAGACAGTGATGGAGTGAATGATGGTGAAAGTTTTTCTTTTTCGGGCCACCCTGCCTTGGTGGGAATCGGCCAGTGTGATAATAAAAAAAAAAAAAAAAAAAATATGACCAGTTGCTGTCCATGAAACATGAACATAATTTTTTCAGAATTGTGCATTGTCAGTCAAGTGTGCAGTGCTGATCTTGAAAGACCTTTTTCAGCATGAGAATTGGTCATTTTCACCTTCATTCTGACTTTGGAAAAATGACCTGTGGCTGATTTCGAGAACTTTTCTACCCAAGTACCACAGTGGCAACAAAATTTACATCTAGAGTATGCAACCTGGCCATCACTAAAGGTGCAACTATCAGCATGCTACATTGATCAGTGGCCAGCATGGAAACTGCAAAAGCAGTTGGAAGGAAGGCGGAAGTGGAAGGAAGGCGGGGTAGGGGTCGGCCTAGGAAGGGTTGGAGGGAGGGGGTAAAGGAGGTTTTGTGTGCGAGGGGCTTGGACTTCCAGCAGGCATGCGTGAGCGTGTTTGATAGGAGTGAATGGAGACAAATGGTTTTTAATACTTGACGTGCTGTTGGAGTGTGAGCAAAGTAACATTTATGAAGGGATTCAGGGAAACCGGCAGGCCGGACTTGAGTTCTGGAGATGGGAAGTACAGTGCCTGCACTCTGAAGGAGGGGTGTTAATGTTGCAGTTTAAAAACTGTAGTGTAAAGCACCCTTCTGGCAAGACAGTGATGGAGTGAATGATGGTGAAAGTTTTTCTTTTTCGGGCCACCCTGCCTTGGTGGGAATCGGCCGGTGTGATAATAAAAAAAAAAAAAATAAAAAAATTTAAGGACTGCTATGCCATGGGTTAAATCAGTTACTTATAATTGTGTTGCTAAGATTTTGAGTGCCACTGTATGTAAAGGTAATGAGTGTCATTACATGCAAAGGTAATGTATGTCACTACATGCAAAGGTAACATACAAATGTATAGAGCTGATACTGTCAAGGTTGTCAGTTGCAAAAATAAAAGTGCATATGCGTAAAGTGGAAGGAAAATAAAAATGGTATCTTGTAACTGGCCATAATCTGTACAGAAGACAGAACTCTTTTATCCACTTCAGTGAATGAGTGACAGACTGGCATTGTCATGATTTGGGGTAAATTGTGTTGCTCAAGAGACAGCTAAAGGATGCTCTCCCTTTCTACACATGGGGAGGCAGATACACACATACATGATGCATATTGTAGCTGATGGTGCAAGAGCATCCTGCTCACAAACACTGACACAGATGTATGTCATGCTAATGGTCAGTCTCATTCGCGACCTGCCTGCCAGGGAGTGTGGACGTGCCTCGCACCTCTCTACTGACAGTCTAGCAAGCTATCCAGTGTCATCATGGCATTTAGCGTGAGGAGGCGGGTGAATACCATTGGCATAGTTTCTTCGGGGGGCGATTACGCCTGAGACTGCACAGGTATTGCTACCGAAGATTATCCGTGACACTTATGGTATAGAGGACAAGGATTTGTACGGTGTGGCTTTGAATGGAGCCTACCGAATATTTGTGAAACTACTCAAGGGGCCAGTGTATGAGGAGCTGGTTGAACAATTTCAAGATATCTGCGTAGATGTGTCCCCTACAGTGTGTGTGCATATGGTAGATGTATCACGACAATACACGTTGGCGAAACTGCACAATGTGCCCTTCGAGGCTGACACAGTGGATCTCAGCAGTATTTTCAGAAGATACGGAGTGGTACACACATGGCAAAACAAGGCAAGTGGCTGGCTGGGGCATATGCTGGTCTACCTGAAGGTACGTTTACCCTAAAGATGTCTCTACGACAGGCCATACCATCGTATGTGTACCTTGATGCCTTCCGCACGCAGGTCATGGTGTCGTATGCTGGCCAACGACGGACATGCCGCCTCTGCGGCGAATATGATCATATGGCGGCAGCCTGTGGGCAGTGAAGGCAGGCCAGATGGCCGGCCGGTGGAGCAACAAATGACGATGGGCAGGAGGCTCCTATACATGGACGACAAGGAGATGGTGGGCGTGGTCGCCTTTGGAGTGAGGAGACTGAAAAGTCAGTGGAGGAGTCGAAATTGGAGATAACGTCTCCCGAGTTGCCTGCATTGCCGGTGTTACAGCAGGCTTTTGGGGAGGACCAGGGGACGGCAGAAGTGGAGGAGTTGGATGCGACATTAGTCAGTTTTGAATACCATGTTCCCGTCTACGGATGTGGTCTCCTCGGCTGTGCCGTCGGTCAGTCCAGAGCTCATGTCCGTGGCGGTCAAACAGCAGGAGGCAGTTGTTGGTGCTGGTGAGGCTGGTGGGGATGTGACGACCCCTGGTCAGAAGGCATCAATGAAGGTGGTGGTGGAGGTTCATCGTGTGGACACTCAGGTCACAGACATGGAGGAGGAAGCTGGGACGAGAAAGAGGGCAGCAGCAATGTCGGACTCAGACGACGTCCTGACGCCAGCTCAACGTACCGGGAAGAAGGCATCGGTAGATGGGGGGCGGTGTGCTAGTGGAGGTGAGCAGCGACAGCAGGTGGTGCCTGGTGGGACAGGTGTCGTGCATGGAGAGCATGGCAAACGTGGTCCCCAGGGCCCAGGTGGGTTTGCAAAAGTGGTAGTGGGGCAGCGAGGGAGGAAATATTAGCCAGGTGAGAGCGGGGTTGTGCGCCTTGTGGGTGGGACATGTGCCCAGTGTTTAGGATGAAAGTGGCTTGATGTGTTGTTCACTTTTATTGTCTGCAAATTGTGGAGTACGAGGAGTGTTAGGTCCTGTTTAGAGGAGTTGCTGCCTGTGCCTGTGTGCGCAAAAGGTACGTTGGTGTGGTTGAGGTGGCATTTGCCGATGGTGTGTGCATGAATGTTGGACTATTATGTTGTATAATATTATGGGGTGGGGTCTGTATGGTGGAGGTTTGAGGAGCGTCCTTATGTTCTATGTCAAGTATTGGGTATGTATATTATACCTATGTATACACACTGTATAAAAACACTGGTAGTTTTAGTTGTGAGGGACCTGCTGTTATGTGGTCTTTGTATGAACATGTCATGTACAGAACCTTTGTAATAAGAGGGTTCCCAACATTCACTTTAGTATCCTAGTTATTACTTGGGGATGTTGTGAAATGGGCTGTGTATATACATGTACTGTGTCAATGTGTTAAAATGCTGTCTTCATTTTCTTTACTGTATAATTTGTTGTGAATGGGTTTGGGTGAGAAATGTAAGGAAGGGGGGTGAGGCTTCAAACACGTTTCTGCTGGGGAGAATATTTGTGAATAGGTGACTATTACCTGTAGGGAATTCCTAATGTGTGCTAAATGTATTTCATGTTGTGGCAATGTAATGATTGTTGTGATATATACCTAAACCATGACTTACATTGTTCAAGCAATCTTGTGGTCGTGTAATACACTTTGGACTAGCATAACTGTAATATTAATGTACATATCTCAACATGTCTGTAAGATTAATGCAGGTTGCTATGGTAATCCTGTTTGATTAGAATAGGTGGGGGATACGGAGGTGTGTGGGAAGCCCACACGGGGTTGTGTGTGGTAAATTAGGCAATGGAAGGTTTTTACATCTGTTGCCGGATAAGTCTTGTATTATTTTGTTTATTTACTGTTCTGTACTGTTTTAAATAAATAAAAAAAAAAAGGTCAGTCTCGTTAACAAGCTCGAATATGAAACGCTGATTATTATAATATTTATGTAGAAGTGCTAAAGCTATACAAGTCATATAAAGCTGTGAAAAGCTAATTACATTATTATGTTCAAAGACATAACTTAACTATTAAGGATCATACTGTACTATACAGCAAACTTACAACAACCAATTTTGAATACATTAATGCACCTGACATCACCATTAAGCTCTTCACTGCTTGCAGTCTACTCTGAAGGTAAGCTTCCCAGGTGAATGTCTTATCAACCAGGCTATTGCTGATTGCCATTATAATCTACCCAAGCCAGGATACCATATCACTTTTTCTCTCTTACAGTACAAGGATGAAAGTAATCAAGTAAGATTTTTGATAAAATAATATTCAAATGGCAAAAAGCAATACTGTACAATATATCAGAAATAGTAAAACAAGATTATTTCAAGTTATTTCAAATGAAGATTTATAGAGAATAACAATCACAATATGTACAATGACTAGAACAATCACAACAAGCCCACACATTAAAAATAAAATATGGGACAAAATTAATCCAGGCCCATTATCAGGTCCTGACTGTATAAAGGTCTAGGATGAACCTAAATATATCAAAGTTTAATTTATAACTTGTGGGTTTGTTGTGATGAGAGTTCCATAAACAGGAGTTAAATATGGAGTTGAGTACTGTAATATACAGTACAGTACAATTTACCATATAACATTACAGGACAAAGTCAAAACCAAACTTTATATTCATCACACTTACTCATTTTCATAGTGCCTTTCCCAATCAACACTATATATTTCTTTTAAAAAATTACAAACACATTCTTGAACCATGTCAACTTGGTCAGGTGGACAATAGTCATCCAGGCTTGAGCGCGCCATAGTTATCATCACTGGGGGTGGCAATGAGGTTACAAGCTTACGTGTCGACTGCATCAACTTGTCAATCTCTTCATCGGAAGAAATGTGGTGAGGCAGTTCATGATTTTCATCATCACAAGTACTCCCTGCATCATGTACCAGCTCCCAGTCGACTTCAGGTCCATATTCACTTGCCAGGTCCTGAATCAACTTGACCACTGACTCTCTCTTCTGCACATCTTCTATAGTTTCACATATTCCACAAACTTTTTCCTGAATAAGCTCAATATCTTCAAGTTCTTGGAGGTGATAAAATATCTCCTTCAATGTTCTTATTTGTTCACATCTTTTTTGTACTTGAGCATCAATAATGTCACTTTCTTGTGAAGCAGTAAAGCTGAAACTATAAATTTCTTTTAGCCTATTGTACATATTTACTTTGTCATGCATTGCAACAAAAGGATTCATAGTGGTAAAAAAATCCAAGTCAATATCTAAAATATAATTTTCCCCATGCTCCTGAATCAGACTAAGAACATCTTGTTCCACTTTCACGTTGTATTCAAATTCTAATGTACGAACATAAAGACTCACTTCCTTAGTGTCTTCGAGATTGTCAGTTTTACAATAAAGCATTTCACCAACAAAATATAAAATTGGACATGAAACCCTAATTTCATCAGAACCTTTTAGCTTTCCAATTAGGAACTTGTAATTGCCATTTTCTATCTGGTTTGACCATGGAGGCTTAATCCAAACAATTGAGGAAATTTGTCCAGTAAATGTAGCACCAAGAATCCAATTTTCTATGCTCAATTTCTGAATCATGACAGGGACATCGTACACCTCAGACGCTTTGAGTTCTGCAGGAATAAGTAAGTCTGGATGGGAATCAAAATGGATAAGCAAGTTGTTGGTGAAAGGAAGATGTTTAGATCCAACAGCTCGTAGGATGTGATGCAAGACATCTTGGTGATCTTCAACAATGTGAACTGGTATGTTGGGATATTTCTTGAGGGTTTCAGTCATTTTTGGTAAATATCCTTTGTATCGTTTCTTGATTAAAGAGAGGTCGAGACGTCTACCTCCTGGAAAAATGCATAAATGTCAATAGGATTTATAACATGAAAGCAAGATTAGTTAAATACATGTATTGAGTTGTCCCTAGAAATTCACAGAAATTACAATTCTAAAGGCCCAGCTAAACTAAAAAGAGCAAATAAAACAAGTTTTCATCAAAAAATGGCAGGTCCTTTTCAAATCCAACCCTTCTCACTCAAATATTTGTCCAGTTTATTTGCAAAGCTACTCAATGTTTAACTACAATAACCTTATTAACACAAAGTGGTAAGTTTATTTAGATACAGGTACACATAAATAGTTATACAAATTTAGGTGATTACAATTATCATACATTGTAACATATGTGTAAATCACCCAAGATAATCCAAAATTGTCAGAAGTGACTTATTTCCATTGAATTACAAAAGGATATAAAGAATAAAAAGGCACAATATCATAACTGGAACAATACACAAAAAATCCACACATAGATGACTGAAATTTATGGCAACGTTTTGGTCCCACTAGTCACATACACCCATTAACTAGTCACACAACCATTAACTAGTCACAAATGCCTATTAACTAGTCACACACCATCATTAACCCTTTGAGGGTCGACAGGCCCTCTCCGAAACTCGTTCTCAGGGTCGGCCAAATTTAAAAAAAAAAAATTATTTTCTCTTATGAAAAGATAGAGAATCTTTTCCCGATCATAAAGACACCAAAAGTTTGAAATTTGATAGAAAACTTACGGAATTATGCTCTCGCAAAGTTAGCGGTCTCGGCGATGTTTACGCATCGGCGATTTTGCCCACTTTGAGCCCCATTTTCGGCCAATTTCACTGTACTAGTCGACAAAAAACATGAATATTTCGATAGAACTCCATTTTTTCTATCGAATGGGTGCAAGAAACCACTCATTTATGGAATTCTACTATCCAGTAACAGTGGTCAGAATTTAGCAATTTTGCCAATTTCACACAAATTTCAAAAGATGTCAATTCCGAATAGGGTCCAGAATAAACAAGAAAGACATTCCTGGCACTAAAATGACATTTCCTCTAGTCATTAGTCATGTCTCAAGGCCCCTCTTATATTCTTTTGCTTTTCCACTTTGAATTTTTATTTTCACAAAAAATATAAGATTTACTGTTATGCAGACTACTGCATTAGTGTAAAAAATGGTATAAATATTATTGGTGCACTTGTGAAAGAATATTAGACTCACCAGTTGACGTGTATTGCACGCTTGGCATGATTTGTTTACTTTTGAAGTTTGGTAAAAATCGAACATTTCTGCTACTTTGAGCTCAATTTCAAGGCACCTTTCTTTGTAAAACCAGTCAAAATCATCTCAATTTCTGTAATATGTATTCCATTCTATAAAATGAGACCAAGAAAACTAGAATACAACAATAAATACCATACGAAAATACACTGCAAAGTCGCTGATTTATTAAAAAAAAATGGTAAAAGTTTTTTTTTCTCATTATGCACTGTGTGCTGCAGGATTTTTTTTAGACTGTGCACACTGACCACATAGACCCATTCTTTCATATGAAGGCCTACCAGTTTTCTCCCACTAGATTTGAGGCCGCTAGAATTTATGAGTACTAGTACGTCAAAAACCCCTACGCGTAAGACGTACTAGTACGACGAAAACCCTCAAAGGGTTAACTAGTCACACACCACCATTAACTAGTCACACACCACCATTAACTAGTATAATGGTCACACACAACCATTAACTAATCACACATAACCATTAACCAGTCACACATGCCCATTAGCTAGTCACACATGCCCATTAACCAATCACACACAACCATTAACCAGTCACAAATGACCATTAACTAGTCACACATGACCATTAACTATTCACACACGACCATTAACTACCTACACATGACCATTAACTAGTCCCACACAACCATTAACTAGTCACACAAAATCATTAACTGATCACATATGACCATTAGTCACACACGACCATTAACTAGTCACACATGCCCATTAATTACACAATCATTAACTAGTCACACACAATCATTAATCACACAACCATTAACTAGTCACACATTAACTAGTCTCACACACACAACCATTAACTAGTCATGCACAACCATTAACCAGTCACACACAACCATTAACTAGTCACACACGACCATTAACTAGTCACACACAACCATTTAGTCACACATGACCATTAGCTAGTCACACACAACCATTAACTACTCACACATGACCATTAACTAGTCATACATAACCATTAGTCACACTATCATTAACTAGTCACACAACCATTAACTAGTCACACATGACCATTAACTAGTCATACACAACCATTAACTAGTCACACACAACCATTAACCAGTCACACATGACCATTAACTAGTCACACACGACCATTAACTAGTCACGACCATTAGCCAGTCACACACATTAACTAGTCACACATGACCATTAACTAGTCACACACAACCATTAACTAGTCACACACGACCATTAACTAGTCACACACGACCATTAACTAGTCACACACTATCATTAACTAGTCACACACTATCATTAACTAGTCACACATGACCATTAACTAGTCACACACGACCATTAACTAGTCACACACTATCATTAACTAGTTGCACACTATCATTAACTAGTCACACACGACCATTAACTAGTCACACACGACCATTAACTAGTCACACACTATCATTAACTAGTCGCACACTATCATTAACTAGTCACACACGACCATTAACTAGTCACACACGACCAATAACTAGTCACACACAACCATTAACTAGTCACACACAACCATTAACTAGTCACACACGACCAATAACTAGTCACACAACCATTAACTAGTCACACACAACCATTAACTAGTCACACACAACCATTAACTAGTCACACACTATTTATTTATTTCTTTGCAAACAGTACATTGAGATTATATATTTACAATAATGGGTTGCAATGCAGAGAGAGCCTCTATTATGCCTAGGCATTATGGGCCGACTTAACATTACTGGTTTACTGACTACTTAACACTAAGAATTATATCGTAGTTGTACAGTAGATTATTAATATCATCGTTGTACAGTAGGTTATTAATTATAATTTATATAAGACAAAAGATATATTCATATATTCGAAAATGCTTTTTGTGAAAACAATGATTCAAATTATATTCCTGTCAACAGTGGATAAAAGGTTCAAAAGTAATTGTTGAAGTTATGATGTGGGAGTACATAGGTGAATAAGTGTGTACTGAGTATTTAGCGTTTAGTCTAGGGTGATTAAGTGACTTTTGAGAAGTCTTAAACTGATTTTCAGACCGGGTTTAGTATCTTCTGGTAATGAATTCCAAATTTTGGGGCCCTTTATGTGCATAGAGTTTTTACACAGTGTGATATCATTGATTAGTTAACTAGTTACACACGACCATTAACTAGTCGCACATCATTAACTAGTTACACACGACCATTAACTAGTCACACACTATCATTAACTAGTTACACACGACCATTAACTAGTCACACACTATCATTAACTAGTTACACACGACCATTAGTCACACACTATCATTAACTAGTTACACACGACCATTAACTAGTCGCACACTATCATTAACTAGTTACACACGACCATTAACTAGTCACACACTATCATTAACTAGTTACACACTATCATTAACTAGTCGCACACTATCATTAACTAGTCACATACAACCATTAACTAGTCACACACTATCATTAACTAGTTACACACGACCATTAACTAGTCACACACTATCATTAACTAGTTACACACGACCATTAACTAGTCAAACACTATCATTAACTAGTCACATACAACCATTAACTAGTCACACACACTATCATTAACTAGTTACACACGATCCTTAACTAGTCACGACCATTAACCAGTCACACATGACCATTAACTAGTCACTGAACCGTCATGTCTATTATGTGCGAGTTATTTATGTAAGAGGATGTAGTAAATGCTTTAACCACTGGAAATTCAAAAAACTTACATGACCAAAAATATTTCAGAGGTGACACCATAAGCTTGTACATAAACAGATTTACTTAGTGAAGGAAGCCATTAGAATTAACTTAAAATTCGCCAAAAAAAAACGCAGTTAGTAAAGGGACCTCTCCCGAGCTTCTATTCATATCCCTCAATCTATTCCCTGGATGAAGAGCCCTTCACTAACGTCAATATACCGTCCTGAGGGTATGTCAAGGGTATCTTTGGGTGAAATACCTCAAAATGGTGTTCAGTGTAGCTCTTGGGCCCACGCTGTGCCAGTGGTATATAAATAGATAACAAAAACCTTCATTTATACTTTAGTCACGTTACGGAAATGATTCATATATGACACACGAGGCCACCTGAGCTTAATTTATACTATAAACCTGATAAACCTCCCAAAAATATAATTTAAAATTAGTATTAGTATTGCGTAATTAAAATTACCTTCGGTGGTTGAAATAATTAAAGGCCACGACAGAGTTGCCTGTATTTAGTCTTTCAGTTCTATCTTGTGAGATATTTTGAAACTGTGAGAGGAAAACTGAAATGTACTAACTATCCTCAAACAAGGTCGGTGGTTTTCACTGGTAAAATAAATAAATTAGAACAAAAGTAGGGATGCACAAGTGAAGGCAGGTGACCGGCTGGGAGAAAAAAAGTAGTTGAAAATTCGTAGCTCGGAAAAGAGGAACTTATATTGGGCGTCTGAGACTTTATGTCTTGCCGGGAGGTGACCCTCATGGAGGGAATATGTTGGGAAAACTTAGAGAACTTATGCTGCCGCTGCCTAGGGTAGAGAGAGAGAGGAGGACACAATATTATTGAGGATAAACAGGAGCCTTCAAATTACCTGCTCAGGGTCGCTCTGCCAGCGCGACCTCCTGCTAACACATTAAACTCTTATACTAACAACATAACTTTCAATATAATTAACATAATGAAACAGAGGAGTCATAGAATTATTCTGCTCGCTACTAGTATGATTTGCATGAATACAATAATTTATAAATGACGATATTTGATGTTTTGTTGGGAGGTGTGGTAGGAGGAAGGAGAGTGTTGGAACATCTTTGCGACATCGACAAAACACATCACAGCTGAGCAGGAGGAGGAGGTCTGCTGCTGACTATATCTTCCCTTGTCTTGTGTCTGTGTGAGGGGCTGGGGGTTGGGCGAGGCTGGGCATGATGAGCGAAAGTCGTGACGCAGACGAGGACGTGCTGAGTGACTACTGGGTGACCTCGTGGGAGCAGCAGACACTGCAGGAGGTGGAGGCAGAGGCAGACCACCAGCAGCGCCTCCATGATGAGGCTGATGCAGCCACTGAGAAGATGTGGGCCATGTTCCAGAGTGCTGCTCAGTGTGTGGCTGTCATGTACAAAGGTTCGCCACACCATAATCTACCACTAGCCCTCTTTTACCCACCAGTCTCCTCTAATAACCTTCTCTTCTTCTAGCACTTCACAATCTAGAAACGTACAGTCACTAACACTTCACTCAAATTCTTTCTAATCCTAAAAATATTAAAATCTTTGTTTATGATGCTTCTAAGTGCAATGAATTTTCTTTATCTCATCAAATATGTTTAACATTCCACCAGTAATTTTTTTTTTTACCGGGTTCTGGAAATTTAAATACTAACCCCAATGGAAATCTGTCACTTTGTCTAACTTTTTCGAGTTATTCTATGTAAGTTACACTATGTATGATAGTTGTACTTATGTGTACCTGTGCCTAAATAAAATCACCTAGTTATTAGACCTCAGACACAAAAATTCTTTTTAAATTGAGCAAAAAAATATTACACATCACTCTGCCACTCATTGTCAGTGTTGTATGACCCTTGTGGGTTTAGCACTTATTTTTTATTATAATAACAATAACACATTGCCAGCCACATCTTAGATAACCTTAAAACATTCTGTTCAGAAGTGCTAAACCCATAGGGTCATACAGTCTGGGGAATGGGAGGCCATCCTGTTTGGTCCAAGGATGTAGAGAACTATTCCAGTTCCTGGAATCAAGAGCCCCTCACCAGAATCAAGGAACCTCCCTTGAGAGGAAGATATAACTTAGAACACAACTTCACAATCTTAATCTGAAACTTAAATAGGACTTTGAAATCTAACAGTTATTTCCCTTGTAGTTTTAAGTTGGGTTTATCCTTCCCCAAAATGCTCTGCATAAATGTGGACTTTCTGCCTGTAATCTAGTGTCACCCATTTCTGTATAAGCATTGTATCATGTGGAAATGAACTTTGAGTAGACATTTAAATGACCTTAATGGAAATAAATCACTTTTTCTGACTTTTATGGGTTATCCTAGGTTCTCTACATATATGCGGCTATGTATGATAATCTATGTAACTGTATTTGTGTATAACTGAATAAACTTACTTGTCTGTTGAAGCCACACACTTTTCAATATTAATGAGTAATCCAGGTGAATACCAGTTATCTTACTGACAATACCAATCTTTAGGGTCAAGGACACCAATGGAAATAAGTCACTTTGTCAGACTTTTGGATTATCCTAGGTAATTTACACTGAATGATAATTGTACTTACGTGTACCTATGTCTACTTACTTACTACTTACTTATTGATCAGTCAGGAGAATCCAATTTTTTCCATATGTAAAGTAATAAAAGTATTGGCACGCACTAAACCTAATATTTACTTCTCGAAGGTGCATTGATACCAGTAAGGGGCTCTTGATCCAAGGGACTGGACTTATACTCTTTCCTTGGATCAAACCTGATTTCCTCCCATTCCTCATTTGCTGTATGATCTCGAAGAATTTAGCTTTTTGCCAGATTAACTCTTTCAGGGTCCAGAGGCCAAATTTCTAAGTGCATACCAGGGTCCAATAATTTTCAAAAAAAAATTTTATTTTTTCTTATGAAATGGTAGAGAATCTTTATCTGAAGGTAATAAAACAAAAAATACGAAATTTGATGGAAAATTGACGAAATTATGCTCTTGCGAATTTTGATGTGTCAGCGATATTTACGAATCGGCGATTTTGCCAACTTTGACTCCCAATTTAGGCCAATTACATTATTCCAGTCGACCAAATTCTTAGCTATTTCACTAGTATTACTTCTATTCTATCGATTGAGCACAAGAAATCGCCAAGTCAACTGTTTCAAATACAAAATAAAGTGATCGGAAATTGGTAATTTGGCCAATTTGACACAAAGTTCAAAATACTCCAATTTCAAAATAGGGTCCAGAATAAACAATGTAGGTATTCCTGGCACTAAACTAACATTTCCTCTGTTCATTAGTTACGTTTTGAGGCTTTACATATGAATTCCATTTTGATTTTTTATTCACATAATGAATTTTTATTCAAACCAAAAAATAGAAGATTTACTGTTATGCAATATTGTAATAATTATATAAATATCATCATCACATTTGTGAATGTATATTAGACCCACCAGCTGGCATGTATTAGATGTGTGAGGTCATTTGTTTACTCTTGAACATCGGCAAAAATTTAGCATTTCCTCTACTTTGAGCTCAGTTTCAAGCCATTTCCAGTGCTAAAACCAATCAAAATCATCTCTATTTCTGTAATGTGTCTTCCATTCTATCAAATGAGACCATGAAATCGCAAATACAACTATAAAAAACATACAAAAAAACACTGCAAAGCCGCTGTTTTAATCGAAAATTAGTCTGTTTTTTTTCTCTCGTTATACACTGTGTGCTGCAGGATTTGTTTTATGTGGTGCACACATACCACATAAGAACATAAGAAAGAAGGAACACTGCAATAGGCCTACTGACCCATGCGGAGCAGGTCCATGTTCCCCACCCCGGATTAGACCAATGACCCACCCACCCCGGATTAGCCCAATGACCCACCCAGTCTGGTCACCTCCACTCAAGGATGGAGCACTGCACCAGACCCAGCAGCACAAGCTAGTCAGGTCCAACTCACACCCACCCACACCCACTCATGTATTTATCTAACCTATTTTTAAAACTACACAACGTTTTAGCCTGAATAACTGGACTCGGGAGTTTGTTCCACTCGTCCACAACTCTATTACCAAACCAGTGCTTTCCTATATCCTTCCTGAATCTGAATTTTTCCAACTTGAAACCATTGCTGCAAGTCCTGTCTTGGCTGGAAATTTTCAGCACACTATTTACATCCCCTTTATTTATTCCTGTTTTCCATTTATACACCTCGATCATATCCTCCCTAATTCTACGCCTTTCGAGAGAGTGCAGATTCAGGGCCCTCAGTCTATCCTCATAGGGAAGATTTCTGATACATGGGATCATCTTTGTCATCCTCTTCTGTACGTTTTCCAGAGCATTTAATACGGTGACCAGAACTGAGCAGCATAATCTAAATGAGGCCTAACCAAGGATATATAGAGTTGAAGAACAACCTGAGGACTTCTATTATTTATACTTCTAGATATGAAGCCAAGAATTCTGTTAGCTTTATTGCGAACACTAATGCACTGTTGTCTTGGTTTTAGATTACTGCTAACCAGAACTCCTAAATCCTTTTTGCAGTCAGTAGTATTAAGATCTACATAGATGTATTCTCTCATATCTAGGCCCAAATTTACCACTTACAGCTTATCAGAGTGAGCTAAGCTCATGGCGTAGATCTACGGTCTGGACCCTAAACGTATAGCCATAGATCTACGGCATGGACCCTGAAAGGGTTAAAGGAAAAATTATCCTTGTGTAATCCTAGTTGACATTGTTGGATAACTTTTAGTTACTGGCAAGTTGCCAAACTGCCTCTTGGATAGTTCAGTGATGGTGGCGAGTTTGAGTTTGTGACTGCCAGATACAATACAAGCAGCAGCTTCAGTGACATTTAAGATTTAATTACAAGTTATTCAACAACATAATCTTAGTTTAGGTTAGGGATTGCCAATTCATATTCATATATTTTATTTGGACATGATGCATAGTTGTACAATGAATTACAGTAGTTGGGTGAACATGCCAAAAGCCCCTTGTATGCAGAGCATTATGGGTAGGGAGAATTCATCACTAGTAGGGAAATATTGGATGCTTCTCACCAACAAACAACTTATGAGCTTCTGTGAGATCACTTACATTCACTTAATCTGAAATTTAAATAAATCTTCAGAATCTAGAGAGAGAGAGAGAGACAGTCAGTCAGTCCACTAAGACTTCAGTCAAATTATTTTTAAGTAAAATTAAATCTACAGTAAAAGATGTAGCATTTACAATCACTTTTGTTTTTTGGTGGAGAGATGAAAGCTTTACTGCAAAAGTAGTCTTGATCTCACGAATAGTGAGTGAAGGATCAAGCTGCCTTCATTCTGTGTCGAATTGACATTCACAGGGTTTAGTATGTCGTCTAAATACAATAATAATAATACTTTATTATACAAAATGAACTTCAAGAGTATAACTACTTTATATATGTATCGAGGTTTTATATCTGGTAGGGAAGACTTGCATACTATACACAAGTGTATTTCCATTATTGTCTGCTAAACCAAGATTACCCTTCAAAGATAGGAGGGTGCCTTGGTGATGGTGGAGGGCTTAGGAGTTAGAGCTACCCTCCCTTAGATCAAACCTGATCATGTATTCCCCAGGTACTGTAAGACCCATGTGGATTTAGTAAGTAAGTAAGTAAGTAAGTAAGTAAATTTATTCAGGTATACACAATACAGTTACATAGAATTATCATACATAGCAGCATATGTGTAGAGAACCTAGGATAACCCAAAAAAGTCAGACAGAGTGACTTATTTCCATTGGGGTCCTTATGAATATAATGAACTAAAATTGAGTTTTTTGGTCCCAGAAAATAACATTATAACTTCATTCAGAATGGTTATTGAACCTAAATATCAGCATGAATATCATCAACTGATAATAGGCCCAAATACTAACTTGGTTCACATGCAGTGTGTGTTCTGCAGACTGAAGTACCATCTTACCTAACATAATCTAACTTTTCTTATTATGCTGTGCCTGGTATATTTACCTTAAAATATAAGACATCTTTAGCTGCTGAAACCTTGTGTAGTATAATTTCATTGTGATGTCACACAGTGACTATAGGAAATGACAGCCAAACCTTCATGTATTAGCCCCAGGAACAGAACATTCCTAGTTTGCTTCACACATCAAGGCAGCATTTTGGCCCTTATTGACACAGCAGAGAATTAGATAAAGGCAAAATAAAATAAAATATAACCGCAGTAAACTACATATATCGTGAAGAGCAAGAAGAATATGCAAACCGTGTTTCAAGATCAATAATTAATATTGATATACTAGGTACAGTTTATCCATTGTTTGTCGACTTGGTATTTCGGAGTTGTGTGATTGATGATGGTTAAGGGATGTTGGTGGTAATTTCTAATGATAGTGTTTATTGAAAATTTAGGGTGATGATTATATTGCAATTATTAGTAGTCGATCATTTCTTCTTGTGTTAAAACTACTGTATTTATTATAAATGTTATAGTAATTTGGATACTTTTTTTTGGAGGATGCAATAGTTAACCAATACATATATTTCATGAGATATTGCTTAGCACTTCAAGCAGTGTAAAACTAGCACTATTACTAACAGTATAAAAACACAAATTACTGTATATTGAACATTGTACAGTATGTAAATATAGGGGACACAAAACATAAAATTATTAAATATTTTAATACAACTTTTAGTGAAAAGATAATAAATTAAGATTGTAATGTTAAAATGAAATTTATCTTTTACACAAACTTATAATGGTAATTTAAGGAGTTACACTAGAAATTGCTTCAGGAGAAATATATTGAACATAAAATTTAAAGTTTTTATAAACTGGGAAAGTTGAAAAAATTTAATTTGTCTGGTTAGTCATTCCAAGTTTTTTTTTTTTTTTTTCCCTTTTATTTGTGTCAAATTTCTGTAGCTGTTTAGGTGAGCACAAGGAATATCAAAGTATTCACCAGGAATGATGATGAATGAAAGTAGATACTGAGGAGATATAGTTTGCTGTTTTAGAAGATATAGTTTAATTTGCTGTTGTATATTGAGATATATGTAGTTTGTTCTTGTAGGAGATGTAGTTTATTCTTGTAGGAGATATAGTTTGTTCTTGTAGGAGATATATTTGTTCTTGTAGGAGATATAGTTTATTATTGTAGGAGATATAGCTTGCTATTGTAGGGGATATAGTTTGTTACTGTAGACGAATGCCTAATCTTGCTTTATGCCGTGATTATATTGAAGGAGCTTGAATGAATAGCTTCATTTATGAGATTTCATTCAAAACATGCTGTGGCTTTTTCACTCCCAAGTCAGTATCAATGGATATTCTTTCTTATAACTGTAAATATTACTCTACGCTCTTATTAACCCTTTCGGGGTTTCGGCCGTACTAGTACGGCTTACGTGCCAGGGTTTTTGATGTACTAGTACGCATGAATTCTAGTGCCCTCAAATCTAGCAAGAGAAATCTGGTAGGCCTACATATGAAAGAATGGGTCTATGTGGTCAGTGTGCACAGTATAAAAAAAATCCTGCAGCACACAGTGCGTAATGAGAAAAAAAATTTGACCGTGTTTTTGGTTTAAAACAGCGACTTTGCACTGTATTTTCGTATGGTATTTATTGTTTATTCTAGTTTTCCTGGTCTTATTTTATAGAATGGAAGACATATTACAGAAATTGAGATGATTTTGATTGGTTTCACAATGAAAAGTACCTTGAAATTGAGCTCAAAGTAGCAGAAATGTTCGATTTTTGCCAAAGTTCAAAAGTAAACAAATCATGCCAAACGTCCAATACACATCAACTGGTGAGTCTAATATTCTTTCACAGGTGTGCTGGTATTATTTATACCATTTCTACACTAATATAGTAGTCTGCATAACAGTAAATCTTCTATTTTTTGTGAGAATAAAAATTCAAAGTGGAAAGCAAAAGAAATGTAAGAGGGGCATGGGGATGTGACTAATGAACAGAGGAAATGTTATTTTAGTGCCAGGAATGTCTTTCTTGTTTATTCTGGATCCTATTTGGAAATTGGCATCTTTTTAAATTTGTGTGAAATTGGCAAAATTGCTAAATTCTGACCACTTTATTGGATAGTTGAAATCGGTATATGGGTGGTGTCTTGTATTCATTCGATAGAAAAAACGGAGTTCTAGCGAAATAGTTATGATTTTTGTCGACTAGTACACTGGAATTGGCCGAAAATAGGGCACAAAGTGGGCAAAATTGCCGATGTGTAAACATCGTCGAGACCGCTAACTTCGCGAGAGCATACTTCCGTAAGTTTTCCATCAAATTTCATACTTTTGGTGTCATTATGATTGGGAAAAGATTCTCTGTCTTTTCATTAGAAAAAATAATTTTTTTTTTTTTTAAATTTTGGTGACACTGAGAACAAGTCTCTGAGAGGGCCTGGTGACCCTCAAAGGGTTAAGGAGACTAAAGTTGCTGTCAGAAACATCGCCTGATGCAGTTTTTTTTTTATCAGATGATGACTAGAAAGATGTGGCTGTGTAAATACACTGAGTAACTTTGAAGCAAAATTGATTTTAGATAGAATTTATTGGTATAAATGGATTCTGAATTCGCAGTGACCTGTAAGAACCTTACCCTTCCATAGATTGATTTCATTTTCTTACTGTCAAATTCCACAAGGTGCATGGGTGATGGCTCTTGTTTTAGAATGGTAGCAAGTTTATCTGCCTCTCTGATAAGTTAAAGGCAGCCAGGTATTCACAGATGCACAGTTTGTACAGCAAATTTTTGTTGTCATGAATGATTGTGCTGTACTGCTCACATTGTATATCTTTTAAACTATACTGTAAAGCAATTTGTGATTTTACACAAGGTAACTTAAAATTTCTCTGTTTAATCATTATTAATTTTTTGTGATGTTGATAACTGCTGTACAGGTATATATTGCACAGGTAGGTAGGCCATTCCATAATTTCAAATATATATCAGTGGAATTTCTGCTTAGATTTGCATGTATGTACTTATGGGAAATCAGGTATACTTAGTTCTTGTATTAAATCTGTTCTATTATGACTCCACAAGTAGAATTAAATGCTTTGGTTAGTAATAATATACTTATACATTATAAATTGGTAATTTGACTTCCATTAAATGGAGTATGCTGCATATTTCTTTGTTAATTGTCAATGGCAGAAGTATTCAGACATTTGCTATTACAGGTGCAGCAGACAGCCAGCAATCCATGTGGGTACCCTTTCAAACAGCTGCTGGCCACATCACTGCTCTTTATAAAGGTATCTTTCTAGTGATGTTTATTGGTTACTTTTAAAAATACTAATATTTTTAGGAACTTAAAGGAAAAACTATAGGTATATTTAAGGCCTTGCAGGGCACATTCATCAACTGTTAGACTCCCAGATTAGCATATTATTACTCCTAGATTAGCTCATTTTAATTACATGGGCTAAGAACCATATTGGGTTATTAACACTGGGCAGTTAATGTTGCCAATACTGTACAATTCGTTATAACTGTCAACATATGCTCCTCTACAAATATTATTTACACAGATGCTGTGGAGTCTGTTCGTCGTAGTGGTGAGATTGGTGTGCAAGCAGGGTATCAACGTCGCACTAGAGAGGTACTTAATTGGGCTAGACGAAGAAGACATATTCGCCGAGAAGAATTAATAGCATTTTTAGCGGGAAAATCGCCGCCACATCGATCCCCGCATCTGAGGCTAGTTGCGTCTTGTTCTTGTTTCTTAAAGTTGTCCCATGTTCTTAAAATGGGATACTATTTATGAATATCTCAATACACTTGGCATAGCCATAACATAATATAATATTTGGGATTTAACATATGAAAGTATTGCACTTGCACATTTTTAAGAAAATACGTGTACTTAATTGGTACATCATACCCTTGTTTTGCCTGATTTTATAGTTGCATGTTCCAGAAAGTATAACAGCAATGCAGTGTACTTTCAGTATTATTTGCCTTAAATGATGAAATAATTTAAAAACTTGACATTTGAATACAAGGAACTAAAAATTTTTGGTCTGCTAACTCTTTGGTGGTCAGTTACCTCTTTTTCCTACTTGGGTCTTCATCACCAGAGTGTTTTGCATATCTCTAATCATGTCCATTAGGCACTTACCTGCTTCATGTAAATAATGTTTTGAAAAACTTTTGTAACTTTTTATTTTCACACCAGCCATCTCCCACCAAGGTAGGATGACCCCCAAAAAAAGGAAATGCATTCAAATATATTTAAATTATATAGGACACCTGTATCACTAGTAGAGCATATTAACAGCATAATAAAACATGTATTGCAAGTGTGCAGCTGTATAGTATGTTACACATGCCCATGCATTCTATGGGGATGTGTAATGGTACTAATTTTGCAATTTTCATATTGGTGGATGAGAAATGTATAATAGGTGGATGAGAAATGTATAATAGTGAGAGTACATGACCACAGACCATCGTCATTCCTTCAGTGTGGGGATAGTCAGTACTTCCACCTCCAGGACTCAAAGTTCAGATAACCAGTTTCCCAGAATCCCTTCAAAAATGTTACCTTCTCATACTCCAACAGTATATAGTCAAAACAAAAGAAACGCTTTTCTCCACTCACCCTAATAAAATAAGCTTACACAAGTCTGCTGCATGCTCGAGCCCTGTCACTCAAACCACCTTCACCCTCCCTATCCACCCTTACTTGAGATGACTTCTACCCCTTTCTTTCACCCCAGATTTATACCATCTTGGTCGTCCTATTCTGCCTGACTCTACTCGTACTACCTTAACTATTGTTCCTTCACCTTCTTCACTATTCTTGAAATAATACCTGACTGTCTTTTAACCCTTTAACCATTTTGTAGAACTGCAGCTTTGAGCTCAGGGTCCATCATGTAATTCTACATCATGAGCTCAGCTCACTCATATAATCTGTGAGAAGTAAATTTTGGCCTAGATATGAAAGAATGTGTGTGTGCAATTATTGTTCACCTTATAAAAAAAAATTGTGCTACACATGGTGCAGGATGGGAAAAACAAAACTGTAACCAGGTGTGTGATTTAAAAATAGCATATTTGCAGTGTTTTCTCAGATGCTTTTCGTGGTTTCATTGGCTGTTTCTTGGTGTCATTTGATAGAATGGAAGGAATATTACTGAACTAGAGATGATTTTGATTTGTTTCAGAAATGGAAGTAGCTTGAAATTGAGCTCAGAGTAGTGGAAACATTCGATTTTTGCTGATATACCTGAGGATGGGTAAGGCCCTCTTACAACCCCAAGTCTGTTTTATGGATTTCTAATAAGCTTGATTAAATTATTGGGATGCTGTAAACCATGACCAATCTTTCCTGGTTATATTTCATTATTTGAAAAATAGATTAAATCTTCTACTTTTTGTGTGAATAAGAACTCAAAATGGAAAAGAAAGTGTGATATAGGAGAGGCCTGGGGACATGACAATTAAAAAGAAATATTGTCTAGGCCGGGAATCTCAATTTATTTATTATGAATTTTTTTTTTTTAAAACTGGCTTTTTTTTTAAATTTTTTGTGTGAGTTGGCCAAATTTTTGAATTCTGATAACTTTATAGGGTATTTGAGTGGCTGTTTCTTAGGTCAATCAACAGAAAGGAATGCATTCTATAAAATAGCTAAAAATTTGTTCCTCTGAACATGGAAATTGGTCTAAAATTTGGGACTTGGGGGAAAAAAATCGCCGTGCTAAATTGAGTGAGTGGCAAAATTGCCCCAGGTAATTCCAAAAGTTTTCCATAAAATTTCACACTTTTGGTGCTATTCCCTTTTGGAAAAAAATTCTCTACTTTCTAAGTTTTTTTTCTTTTTTGGGGGGGGGAGGGGGGAGTTTTTTTGGACAAAAAAGCAAGTTCCGATTGGGGCCAAAAACCCTAAAAGGGGTTTAACGGGGTGTAATCTGCTTAACTGTTTACTACAGGACAGGACAACACCCAATAAAACTCTTAATCCACTTATTGATTTACTACCAGATATACTAAGAATAAATGAGTACAGAGAATTTTTTTTCAGAAATATGAACCCAAAAAGATAATAGGTTAAAAGTACAGCATGGTACAATACAATAGATTACAGTACAATAATTTTTTTTACTTTTTTTCTGGGTTTCTTTTTTGCTTGTCTATGCCATACTCCTCACACACCTAAGCCACTGAAACACCAGCCTCCAGTATCTGTATTAATTCAAGTTTCTGCTTAATAGTTAAGGTTACACACTGCTTCTTCGCCAATTTTTAATAACGCTGTACACGGGACTTTTAAAAAAATTATTAAACACTCGGTAAATCCAGGGGAAAATTGGAGATGAAATGACAAAGGTGGGAGCATACGCAAAGACAATAACACACTGATGCGGAGCAGTCATTGGCTGGCCCTGCTGCACAGGAACAGTGAAAGTGGGTGTGTCCAGGATGAACCTTGGATCATACAAACTTGCAATTTATTGAATGCACCACCAGACCGGATTTGCCACTCAACATAATGGATTTGGTCTGCCCTCTGGTTGTTTTAATCTGACATCCCATTAAACGTACATGTTGAGCCTTTGTCCGACCAATTTTTTTGTCTTTTTTTTTAACCGACATCCACTTTATGGGGATCCATTTTATCTGACATTTACTGTACGTGATTGTTAAAGGCACAAATGTGGCATACTCAGCTACAGGATAAATATGTTGACAGAGATAACATCAGTGAACTCCAGGATACACATTAGGCTGTCATTCAACCAGTTTGCTGCATTATTATACTTAAAAATGTGTGGCATAAACATGATTGTGGCAAGGAAGAGAGATATCTTGGCCATTGAGAATTTTTTCCAATTTGATGCCGTTTTCAAGTCACTTCTGGTCTTAAACTTATTGAAATCTTCTCTATTTCACTAAGCATGTCTTCAGTCTATTGGTAGCAAAAGTCAATCAATAAAAACCACAAAAAATCCCCCCTAAAAAATGTCCCAACTTTTCATATGTGGAGGCTCCTCGTTACCCTTGCCTAGAGTACAGGCATATCTCATTAATATGCCACACAGTGCTTGTCTTATGCAGTGCTTTACAGTTTTATTAATGTTTATTTTCGGCACTTGCCTTGCTCACAAGATGGTTTTTGGCAGTCTTTACCCTCCCTTCCCCTCCCCCCCCAAAAAAAAAGATCTATTTTTACTTTTACATTGTTTTCTTTGGCCTAGTGCTATTGTGCATGTAGTAAATAATAGTGTAAATTTGTTTTTTTGGGTATATGCACTGGCAAATGAAAAAAAAAAAAAAGGCTCTGATTTGCTTTAAGGCTATATTCACTTTACAGTGGAGCCGAACCCGCCATAATAGTGAGCTATGCCTGTACTGGACGTTAGCTGTTCTCATCATGCACTGTATGGCTCAGGATTTTTTTTTTAATACTCTTCACACCTGCTTCACAGAGCCATTCTCTTATGTCTAGGTCAAAATTTCCCACACAGCAAATTTGAGGGTTCAGTGAATTATGCATGCTAGTGCATTGTGGATTCTAATCGCAGTGACGTGCGTACTGTTATGTAATGCACACCATACTGATTAATTTTTTTTTTTTTGTTATAAAAACATTTTTCATTTTTACAGTCTCCTCATTATAGTGCAGCATGTACTACCATTTAGTTGGAAAAGATTGTTTGGTACTGAATATAGGAAGTGGAAATAATTGATCTTCATTATTGATACAAAGTTATTTTGGTGATTTGATGTGATCACTAAGCTTAGTGGTAGCACCTTCAACTCACAACTGAAGGGTCTAGGTTCTCTCCTGGGTTAGTTTAGACATACATGTGTAGGCAAGTCTTGCACCTGTTTTCTCTATTTGCCTAGCAGTAAATAGGTATACTGATCTTTGTGTCAGTATTCCCTAATGGGGTTTTTTCTTTAAAATCAGCTGAGGTAGGATAGCCAAAATTAACCTTGAAATTTAATGAGGTATAAAAATTTTTGGTGGCGGTAAGTGACAAAAATATTTTTGGTGTAGGGGATAAAAGGATTTCATTCAGGTAACATAAGTGTTTACTTTAACCCTTTGAGGGTTTCGGCCGTACTAGTACGGCTTACGACCCAGGGTTTTTGACGTACTAGTATGCCTAAATTCTAGCGCCCTCAAATCTAGTGGGAGAAAGCTGGTAGGCATACATATGAAAGAATGGGTCTATGTGGTCAGTGTGCACAGTATAAAAAAAATCCTGCAGCACACAGTGCATAATGAGAAAAACAAAACTTTGACCGTGTTTTTGGAATAAAACAGCGAATTTGCACTGTATTTTCGTATGGTATTTATTGTTGTATTCTAGTTTTCCTGGTCTCATTTTATAGAATGGAAGACATATTACAGAAATTGAGATGATTTTGACTGGTTTTACAATGAAAAGTACTTTGAAATTGAGCTCAAAGTAGCAGAAATGTTCGATTTTTACCAAAGTTCAAAAGTAAACAAATCATGCCAAACGTCCAATACACGTCAACTGGTGAGTCTAATATTCTTTCACAAGTGCGCTGATAATATTTATACCATTTCTACACTAATGCAGCATCCTGCATAACAGTAAATCTTCTATTATTTGTAAGACTAAAAATTGAAAGTGGAAAGCCAAAGAAATATAAGAGGGGCCTGGGGATGTGACTGACGAACAGAGAAAATGTTATTTTAGTGCCAGGAATGTCTTTCTTGTTTATTCTGGACCCTATTTGGAAATTGGCATCTTTTGAAATTTGTGTGAAATTGGCAAAATTGCAAAATTCTGACCACTGTATTAGTTGAAATCAGTGAATGGGTGGTTTCTTGCACTCATTCAATAGAAAAAATAGAGTTCTAGAGAAATAGTTAGGATTTCTGTCGACTAGTACACTGGAATTGGCCGAAAATAAGGCTCAAAGTGGGCAAAATTGCCGATGTGTAAACATCGTCGAGACCGCTAACTTCGCGAGAGCATAATTCCGTAAGTTTTCCATCAAATTTCATACTTTTGGTGTCAATATGATCGGGAAAAGATTCTCTATCTTTTCATAAGAATTTTTTTTTTTTTTTAATTTGGCTGACCCTGAAAATGACTCTTGGAGAGGGCCTGTTGACCCTCAAAGGGTTAAAAAATGAGCTTATACAATATGTTTTTATGTAATATTTGTACTAAAAAAGAGAAGAAGAAAAACTTTATAAAACTGGGATGCTTGAATGTGTGTGGATGTAGTGCAGATGACAAGAAACAGATGATTGCTGATGTTATGAATGAAAAGAAGTTGGATATCCGGGCCCTAAGCGAAACAAAGCTGAAGGGGGTAGGGGAGTTTCGGTGGGGGAAAATAAATGGGATTAAATCTGGAGTATCTGAGAGTTAGAGCAAAGGAAGGGGTAGCAGTAATGTTGAAGGATCAGTTATGGAAGGAGAAAAGAGAATATGAATGTGTAAATTCAAGAATTACATGGATTAAAGTAAAGGTTGGATGTGAAAAGTGGGTCATAATAAGCGTGTATGCACCTGGAGAAGAGAGGAATGTAGAGGAGAGAGAGAGATTTTGGGAGATGTTAAGTGAATGTATAGGAACCTTTGAACCAAGTGAGAGAGTAATTGTGGTAGGGGACCTGAATGCTAAAGTAGGAGAAACTTTTAGAGAGGGTGTGGTAGGTAAGTTTGGGGTGCCAGGTGTAAATGATAATGGGAGTCCTTTAATTGAACTTTGTATAGAAAGGGGTTTAGTTATAGGTAATACATATTTTAAGAAAAAGAGGATAAATATACAAGATATGATGTAGGGCGAAATACAGTAGTTTTTTGGGTTATGTATTGGTAGAAAAAGACGTTGAGTAGACTTCAGGATGTACATGTTTAAAGGGGCCCGAGATATAAGATCATTTTGTTGTAGCTACAGAGGTAAAAGGGGGGGGATCAAGGGAATAGAAGCATCAGGTAAAAGAAGGTGAAATTTATAAATAAAGAGGGGGCAGTTAGGGTAAGATATAAAAGCTATTGGAGGAGTGGGCAATGAAGCATAGGCAATGGGGCAAAAAGGGGTTGGGTAGGTTTAAAAATGTCGTGTTAGAGTGTTCAGCGAAGTTTGTGGTTAAGGAAAGGGGGTGCAGGGGGGAAGAGGAGGATTAGGGAAAGATGATGTGAAGAGAGTAGTAAGGGGAAAAAATTAGCATATGAGAAAATTTTTACAAAAAGCAGTGATGCAAGGGGGAAGGATATGGGGGAAAAAAAGAGAGGTTAAGAGAGGGTGAAGCAATGTAAAAAAGAGAAATGAGAGAGTGGGTGGATGTTATCAACAAATTTTGTTGAAATAAGAAAAGTTTTTGGGGGAATTTAAAAATTAAGGAAACCCAGAAAACAAATGGATTTTTCAGTTAAAAAAAAGGGAGGAGATTATTAAATGGAGGTTAGAGGTATTGGGAAGATGGAGGGAAATTTTTAGGAAATTTTAAAAAGTTTTATGAAGATAGGGAAGCTGTGATTTGTTATAGGGGAAGGGGAAAAACATCTTGTAGGGTGAGGGAAAAGCCATTGTGGGTGGGGGAAGTTTGGAGGCAGTAGGTAAAATGAAAGGGGGTAAGGGAGCCCGGATTGATGGGATAAAGATAGAAATGTTAAAAGCAGGTGGGGATATAGTTTTGGAGTGGTTGGTGCAATTATTTAATAAATGTATGGAAGAGGGTAAGGTACCTAGGGATTGGCAGAGAGCATGCATAGTTCCTTTGTATAAAAGGCAAAGGGGACAAAAGAGAGTGCAAAAATTATAGGGGATAAGTCTGTTGAGTATACCTGGTAAAGTGTATGGTAGAGTTATTATTGAAAGAATTAAGAGTAAGACGGAGAATAGGATAGCAGATGAACAAGGAGGCTTTAGGAAAGGTAGGGGGTGTGTGGACCAGGTGTTTACAGTGAAACATATAAGTGAACAGTATTTAGATAAGGCTAAAGAGGTCTTTGTGGCATTTATGGATTTGGAAAAGGCGTATGACTGGGTGGATAGGGGGGCAATGTGGCAGATGTTGCAGGTGTATGGTGTAGGAGGTAGGTTACTGAAAGCAGTGAAGAGTTTTTACGAGGATAGTGAGGCTCAAGTTAGAGTATGTAGGAAAGAGGGAAATTATTTCCCAGTAAAAGCAGGCCTTAGACAAGGATGTGTGATGTCACCGTGGTTGTTTAATATATTTATAGATAGGGTTGTAAGAGAAGTAAATGCAAGGGTCTTGGCAAGAGGCGGGGAGTTAAAAGATAAAGAATCAGACACAAAGTGGGAGTTCTCACAGTTGCTCTTTGCTGATGACACTGTGCTCTTGGGAGATTCTGAAGAGAAGTTGCAGAGATTGGGGGATGAATTTGGTAGGGTATGCAAAAGAAGAAAATTAAAAGTGAATACAGGAAAGAGTAAGGTTATGAGGATAACAAAAAGATTAGGTGATGAAAGATTGGATATCAGATTGGAGGGAGAGAGTATGGAGGAGGTGAATGTATTCAGATATTTGGGAGTGGACATGTCAGCGGATGGGTCTATGAAAGATGAGGTGAATCATAGAATTGATGAGGGGAAAAGGGTGAGTGGTGCACTTAGGAGTCTGTGGAGACAAAGAACTTTGTCCTTGGAGGCAAAGAGGGGAATGTATGAGAATATAGTTTTACCAACGCTCTTATATGGGCGTGAAGCATGGGTGATGAATGTTGCAGAGAGGAGAAGGCTGGAGGCAGTGGAGATGTCCTGTCTGAGGGCTATGTGTGGTGTGAATATAATGCAGAGAATTCGTAGTTTGGAAGTTAGGAGGAGGTGCGGGATTACCAAAACTGTTGTCCAGAGGGCTGAGGAAGGGTTGTTGAGGTGGTTCGGACATGTAGAGAGAATGGAGCAAAACAGAATGACTTCAAGAGTGTATCAGTCTGTAGTGGAAGGAAGGCGGGGTAGGGGTCGGCCTAGGAAAGGTTGGAGGGAGGGGGTAAAGGAGATTTTGTGTGCGAGGGGCTTGGACTTCCAGCAGGCATGCGCGAGGGTGTTTGATAGGAGTGAATGGAGACAAATGGTTTTTAATACTTGACGTGCTGTTGGAGTGTGAGCAAAGTAACATTTATGAAGGGATTCAGGGAAACCGGCAGGCCGGACTTGAGTCCTGAAGATGGGAAGTACAGTGCCTGCACTCTGAAGGAGGGGGTGTTAATGTTACAGTTTAAAAACTGTAGTGTAAAGCACCCCTCTGGCAAGACAGTGATGGAGTGAATGATGGTGAAAGTTTTTCTTTTTCGAGCCACCCTGCCTTGGTGGGAATCGGCCAGTGTGATAAAAAAAAAAAAAAATTGTACAGAATGCATTTTTCCTTAATATTATTGTTCTATGTTAGAGATATGGCAAGCATTACAAGGGAAGATTATAGATTTTTTAACACGTTGGCCATCTCCCACCAAGGCAAGGTAACCCAAATAAGAAAAAACACTTTTGTTAAGTTTTTTCTTTTTTACATTTAGTAATTTAAACAGGAGAAAAGGCTACTACCCCCTTTCTCCCAGCATTTTATAGTCAGCTTTTATGACATGCATGGCTTATGGAGGAAGGATTCTTTTTTCACTTCCCCATGGATGCATTCTATAGACGTAATATAAAAATGTATTACTTGTTTCTAAAGCTTTTTTATCTTAAAGCAGTTCATAACAAAAATTTATATTTGTTCAGAGGGTCTCCTCGTACTCGTATCTCTCTGGAGCGCATGGGTCCCCGTCTACCAAGTCCTCACCACACACACATGCACTCCCATGCTCACAATCCAGATCCAGATCTCAATACTTTCAGGGAAGCTCTTGGAATTTCAGGTATGTACACTTTTACTGCTGCCATATTACTTAATATGTAATTACAATATGTACATTCTTTTTCATTTATTAAAATTGTGTTATAAATATTTAAAGCATTGTTTACTCTTGTTAAAATTTTCAATCCACATTGGTGATTGAAGAAATTTTCCTTGAAATGTGTTGGTTGTTAGACTCGTTTTTAAGCTATTTTTGAGCAATGTGTTTATAGTCATTGGCAGTACAAAAATTTATTTAATTGTAACATTTGTTACAAAGGCTTGCATATTTGTTGGATATATAAATGTTAACACTTTCCATCTTTCTACCCAGGCATTAAAAAATTTAAGTTATGATTATCTCAAAGTGGTATACGTTTAGAGTGTGATGGTGTTTAGCCATCAGGTGTGTGGCATAATACATGTAATGTAAACTGGGGTAATTCTGGTATCAATAGTCAATGTTATTAATATATTTTAATGAGGAATGGATATTTATGCATAGCCATGGTGATACATGTCTGGTAAGTGTTATACAAAAATATTGTGACATATACTGTAGTTTTAAAAGGCTGACTTCTTTATAAATCTGTGCCATTATTGTAAATAACTTAATCAATTGTTGCATCATATTTTAATATAAAAATTCTAAATTAATTGGGGTAGTTTTACAAGTGCTGCACATTTCCTTATTGTTGATTCTTCCCCTCAGTTACATCACAAGACTTGATAGTCATAATGCATTTTCTCAACCTCTTCTTCCACACAGCTCTTGCAGGATAGTGTAGTGTACTGTATAATGTTATTTTCCCTTGATGAGCAGTCTTTCTGAAACCCCTTATTGTCCAGTGATAGAGGCAAAATTTTATTATGGACAGTAAAGCTTTCCCTTAAAAAATTTGGAAGAGGTTTTTAAAAATTATTAGCTATTAAAAGGACACAATTTTTTTAATTATCTTGTTTTTAGGTCAACCTAGTTTAAACGTACGCCCCCCCACCCTTGGGTCACCCACTCTTCCCTCGGCGCGAAATTTTAACTCATTTGCCAGAGTTTCAGGTTTTATCTGTGACGAATTTGCAAGAAAAAAGCGCCAGGGACCCCCCTCCTCCCGCTCATGATGTGATATGGATTCACCACAGCACAAAACGTTCTGTTTTTACCTAAAAAGGCCCTTTTTAAGTAGAAAGTTTTCCCTTAAAAAACTATTTCATGTGCCTAAAAATCAATATTTCAGCGGTAATTTTTTTATGGAAAGAAACTGTGTTTAAAAAAAAAATATGGTGTTTCCTGTTGGGTTGTGGTCATTAGGTTTTAAGCCTAAGATTATCCGGTGATTTGTGGAGTAATTGTAAAAAAGTATTTGGGGCAAACTGCAAAACATTGTACTGTATGTTAAATTAGAAGAGGGAGCCCCGTTTTATTGAAAATTTCTTTATTGAAATTTCATTTTTTCCCCTCATTAATTTTCCCATTATTATTCCAGATGGAGTTTGTGGTAGTCATTTTCTTTCAGCAGAGCATGATGTTCTTATTTCAAAACTATTTTTGTGCCTCTTGTATATAGGTTTGAAGTTAATGTTTGAGATCGTGAGCTAAGCCTTAAATCTCAAACAGCTCAAAATATTCAATATTTTCAAGTAATCCCACAAAACGCCTAATTAGTGGCATGGTCTTGCTCCAGTTCGTCTTGTGAAGTGAAGAATGCGATAAATATAAATGAGGAGCAGATTATAAATGCATTCACAAATTCTACAAATCCTAGGAACATTTGATCTTGCTGATAGCAAGAGCCCCATATTTGTGGATATTGTGTAAATGAAAGAATCAAGGATGTAAGTACTGTACATTAATATGCAAGAAATGAACTAGCTTGAATCATATTTAATGTTATTCATTCTATTGCATCCTTGGTGCTTTAAAGTGTTTAATTTTTTGCTTCACTGTTTGGTGAATACTTATAACTTCCTGTGACTCCCTGTATCCTCAGACATAGGGCTTGTCATGCATACATAATATGTATTAGTTTGTAACTTCCTGTGACTCCCTGTATCTTCAGACATAGGGCTTGTCATGCATACATAATATGTATTAGTTTAAAGCAGTATTAATCTGCAAATGATATGCAACTCATGTTGAAGACCTTTACAAAGGGTTTTATTTTCCAAGTGTGACTTTTAATAGTTGTTGACAGTGGATGGCAGATGACTATTGAATGTTTGTGGATGACAGTCGACTCATAAGTCCATCTCCTTGGGTTAAGACACGATTCACGTAAATTCCCAAAGAGTTGCTCGTTTTCCATAGTATATATTTAATACTGTGATAAAAATGTATCAAGTTTGAGTATGTATGAAGGACCTGGTACTTCTTGTTGACATTTACTATTGTGTACATGTGAATATACTCTACACCAGAATGGCAAAATTGAATCGTATAATAATGTTGAGCATAATTGAGTTGTGTGGTGTATAGCTTTTTGTTAACCATTATGTTGCTTTTGCAGAGTATTTAAAGTTTTTTCTTAATACATTTCAGACCATTTTTGTTACACAGATGTACAGATGCTACTATAATTAAGGGCAAAAAAAAATATTTTTATTTGCGTATCTAATGCGATCTTTTGATAACGTACAATTTACTCCTTGTGTACTCTCTGATTTTGGGCAGATGACTTTTGTTTTATGAAACTCAACTTCAGTCTGCTAATTTTTTTTTTTTTTTTTTTCGTAATTATAAGCTCATTTATTAGAATGTGGGAAATGTTGGATGTACACTGTTTGTGTGTAAATTATGTAAGTCTCTTCCCAAAATCAATGCAATGTGTAACTGAATATTTGGCTATTGTTAATAATGTGGTAGACCAACAAAGGGGGTTCGTGGAAATATGCAACAGATTACTTGTGTTTGCAGCTTACATAATGGCAACTATTGCAGAAAAAGTGGTGCAAGTTTTGATTTATTTTCATGCCCGGTCATTGAAAAGAGTTTAATGTAGAATAGCTTTTGCTAATATGCCTTTTTTTTTATCTGAGGTGGTTAATAGAACGTTGCCATGTGTAAAAATTGTTTGGATACCACAGGATCGTTATAAGTATAATCAGCAACACAAAAAAGAAAATAAGACTAAGCTATGATGAGCAACTAGAGATGAGCTTTTTTATTTTAGATAAATTCTAAAAGTCAGGATTTAAGCAACATGCCTCTTTTATTTCTTTATAAATATATATCTATGAAACATGTAAACAGGTAGTCGTTAAGGATTTTTTCAGTGATAAACTTTGTATGCAAAACTAGTCCCATATCAGAGTTTTGCTTGTTCTGTACATGTTTTTCTTATACCTGATCTGGCATAAACAGAGACCTCCCATCTAGCTTTGTAACATTGCTTGTCTACCAGTGCTGTGTTGTCTCAAAAAAAAAAAAAACAGTTGCTTATGATGAAAAGATGTGAAATAAAAGTGCATTTAAAATACAGTTAGTGCCCACTAAAGGGTTAGGGGAAACATTTTGATATTGGTTGGCCGATTAAGTATAAATACAAATGTAAATGAAGGGTAAAAAAAAAAAGACGATTTCTAAAATTCATTAGTGAGTATGTGTCTCTCTTTTAAACACGTCTTCAGGCATGCTGTAATAAAATATTAAAAGCCACTGCCTTGTTATTCCATACATCCTTACGTATGGAAGATGTGTATTAAATTAATTGTGTTGCATCTGAATATTTTTGTTACAGGGGAAATAATTAGCTCACTGGTACAAGTACAGATAAATTTACCGTTGAAAACTTTTTTTGCTTGATTGTTATACGTTGTGCTTTCCAGTGTTTTACATGATCAGTTTTTATTCTATCACAGAACACGTGCTACATATTACTTGCAGTTGGCTTATTGACTATATATATATTAAAATCTGCAAATATCTTGTATATAGTATACTAAATTATGAGTTTATGTAGTACCTGTATGCATATTTTTATACAAAACCCCCATACACTAAGATAATGCCTCCTGGAGACACCTACAGATGCTTCTTACTTTACGATGGTTCGACTTACAATATTTCAACTTTGATGGTGTGATAGCGATGCACACTCAGTACTGTACATTTATTGATAGGATGACCTTGTATTCATTTATTTACTCTAGTTACGGCAATTATTTGTTTATTTACTTAGTGACAGTAGTTGTTGATTTACTTATTTATCATATCTGTTCAATATTCGACTAACATTATTTTCAGCTTACGATGGGTTCATCAGAACATAAGTCGAGGAGCACCTGTACTCTCGCATTACAAAAATAGCAGTCATAAAAGATGCTTATTCATCACTTGCATATCTCTTAAGATGTCTTCCCATTTAATCCTTGACAACATACATGCTCTGTCAGGTACAGGTTCAGGTAGGTTATCCAGGATGGGTCAGGACCCATCTTCTCCATGTAGTGACCTGGCAAATGCTGCATCACTTGCAACTCAGAATTCCATCAGTAATTATTGCTACTCTTGAAATCTGTATCTCATACATTCTCAGTTTTTCGAAATCACGTTTGATTACTACAGTTCATCTGTATATTTTTAGCTCAGTTATTGCAGTGCATCCATGCACTTGCTCATACACTTATTATATTTGTAGAAAGTGCTAAATTTGTAATTCCCAAATCAGTAACCTGCCTTAACTAATTCTATTGTTCATACTCTTTTGTTGTTGGTTGTGCAGATTCAAAAGACCATCCCCAAATAGTGTATATTTTTTCTTTTTTGACTTAAAACTTCAGTACAAATGGGTTTAGCACTTAATAGGAGTGAATGGAGACAAGTGGTTATTTATGAATGTGCTGTTGAAGTGTGATCACAGTAACTTATGAAGCTATTCAGGAAACCGGTTAGCTAGACGTGAATCCTGGAGGTGGGGAAGGGCAATGTCAGCACTGAAGGAGGAATGGGGATGTTGCAGTTGGAGGATAGTCTGAATAGCGATGCTCTCACACTTCTGGAAATACAGCAATTGAGTGAATGATTGTGAATGTTTGTTTTCTTTGGGTCACCCTGCCTTGGCAGATGGCCATTGAGGTAGAAAATAAATATAAATTAAGATCTGGTACAAATATTTTGCACATCTTCAATGAAGGTGGAATGCACACAAGTTTCAGAAGTGAAAGTTGTGAACTTATTTTATTGCTCATACAACCACTTTTATTTCCATAATTATAATGTAAGTTATGCATTTAATAGTACTGCCAACATACAGTCTGCAACATAATTCATTCCGTGGTAATAATCTTAGTATGTGATTCGTACCATGATTGACACTGGAGGAGGCCTGGCCACAGACCGGGCCGCGGGGGCGTTGACCCCCGGAACTCTCTCCAGGTAAACTCCAGGTAAAAAACAATGTATCACCGTCTTCCTCATCTTAACCCTTATTCTCAAATTGCACACAGTAATCCCTTCATTTATGCAAGTTTGTTAAATGCAAATTTGCTGTTGTGTGAAGACCCTATTTCTGCCAGGTATTCCCTATATGCAATGTAAACTGACTTCTGCAATCCGCGTGGTTCACAAAATGTAAGAGAATCTCTTCTTGCATTCATTGTTCAAATATTTTTTTTTCCTCTGTGTTGTCTCTACAGATATTCCCAAATTTCATGGTGAGAGGACAGCCCATTTGCCCTCAAATGATGAATATTCTGATTTAAATGTTGCCAGTTTTTCCATCACTTTGTTGCCAGGCATATCATAGTCTTCTTTCTTTAATTCACTCATTTGTGGTTAAATATGTTTTTATAGGTTTATGTAACCTAATTTAACCAAATCTAACTTATAGACAATAGGATTAGAAATACTTTAACTTTAAGCAATTGACATTAGCACAGAATTAAAATCTAATTGAAACTTTAACCCATTCTGCTTGAAGCTGATAGGCAAACCCTTCGACTAAATTTGGCCTTGATCCTATCCTATCTTATTCACCCCTTCTTGGAGAGTTCCCATAATTCATATCTGCTCATCCATGCTCAGAAGCCATGCCTGCTTTGAACTTGTGCTTGCTCTCCCTTGAATATTCAGTTGCAACTGCATAATCATGCAACAGTGATGTACACTGTCTTCCAAATCCTCC